TTTATTTTAATAGAAGGGTAAAATTGTCAAAAATTGGGGAAAATGACGTTTTGTGCCAAAAATGTGAAAGGTAGGGACGTCTGCGCCAAGAAACAAAACGTATGGACGTTTTGCACAAAACCCGTCAAAGGAGGGACGTTTTGCACCAATTACCCTTTTTTTAAATAAAGTATTTTATTTGAAGGAATAGATTTTTTTTTTTTTTTAAATGAACATAGTACTAACCTGCAATCCACAAGAACATGTAATACTTGATAAATCCAATCACGAGCTTATGCAAAAAAGGATCACAAGGAGACGTGATCTTGATCAACCTTGTGTCAGTCAGTTTTCAAAAATAGTGACCAAAAAACATACGTAAGAAAAAGAAAAAAGAAGGTATAGCATACATGGTAGAGAGGTTTTTTGTTTTTTGTCGTTAGATAGGTGGAGGTGCCTCCAAATTTCAAAATTTACTGGAAATCGCCAAATAAATAAAACTACTGCATCAAAATAGGAAAAAATAGTCTGCTGTGCTCACTTAGCTCAGCAACAACTTAGTAGTCCTAAATTTTATTACAAAATTTAATATGTTCCATAGTCCTAAATTGCAAAACTAAAAGGCATTTAATTCTGGCAATCTTTACCCACAGAGGCAATCTCTACCACAAACACCAGATGATCCATCTGAAGAGCTGCAGGAACAAAAGATGCCATCATCCTCCAGACGCCTTTTATTCCTCTTAGAAAGGTAGATATCTTGAAGTAGTTAAGAACGATAAGGAAGAAGAGAGGGAATGTAGAGATGCAAAACTTGTAAAACTATCGAAAAACATCAACTATGCCACCAAGCAATGCTGTGACTCATAGTTAAAAATGGAGGACAAGAACTCTTGATAGGAAAGAGTTACCAAGGTCAGAAAAATTATATAAAAAATCAGTTATAAAAATAATGTACACAACAATAAAGCATGAGTAATTTTCATGGATACTTTGCTTTATAAAGGAGTAGGGTGTTGATTTCCATTTATTCAACCACTCAGGAAGTTCAAAGTCAACTGGACTTCCAATCTCCTCCAACGTTATTAACAATTTTGGTTTATCTAACAAATATATATTGAACAATCTGATGTGAACATGAGAAAAGCTTCCAAAAGCAGATTTACAAGTTCTTTCCGAGACTCGTTAGTTTTTGAAACAATCTGGAGAAGCATTAGAATTTTCAGGCACTCCATTGCAATAGCCACTGCCTCTCTGTTGATAGGTTTCTAAAATCAAAAGCACGTTGATGCAGAGTTATTTTAAAAAAAAATAGAAACATTTTGTGAAATAACAAATAAGTACCTCCAAAATTTTCAGAATGATAATAAACAAATCTCCAACAAGCTCCCCAACAAAAAAAAATCGAAAAATTATTAAATTCTGCACTGCTACCTTTATGTAGAATGACTTTTGCTACTTGTAACCCAATTGCTTGAATCTGTGCAAAACAGTTATGGTTATTTGAGCACAAGTGCCTCGATATTCTGAACCGATGAAGACTAAATTATTAATATGGTATCAAAGCACACATAAGTCCTGAGTTCAAGTCTTGCCTCTACCGATTTATGAATATTGTTCACATTCCAGACCTTTGATTAAAAAAGGAATTTGGCACGTGTTATCCTTGCCTCAGCAGCTTAAATTTTTAGGCAAGGTAGAACAACATAAAAATTGAGTAAAAAGAATAAAACTCCTCGACATTAATAATTACAATCTTTGTAAAAAAGAAAAAAAATGTACTCTGTGCCACTAAGGCATAGTGTCTCCACGTGTCAAGAAGGCCTGGCACCATGTCTCCATAACACGAGGAGACATGGCACTTAAACCATATTATTAATCATTTTAATGATATGGACTCCATAGCATTCCAGGCCTTTGATTAAAATGATTTATTGCCTCATGAATGTGAATGATTTATTCACATGCCTCGTGAATATTTTTATCTAGACCCGTCAGCAGAGCATTTCGAGAAGTAGCCTACAAGTGGGGCTGAACATATAGGGCAGGGGCATGTCTAATCCTATTTCTTCTTTCCCATGTGAAAAAGCATCAATGGTAATATCAAGCAAACAAATTTTTAGGAAACATGATTGATGGGCATTTCATCCTTCATGAACAAATCCCAGAGAAGAAAGCCTCCAAAAAAATTTTCCAGCCTCCAAGACCCTATACAAGGCGTATATAGTGAGACTAATTAATTAATGATAATACAGTGCAAAATTATAACAAATCAATGATCTCCATCAGTATTAAAACCACAATACTTTCAATTTCATCTTGCCAAACATAACATTGGAGTCTATTGTTGAGGATTTATTCAACATATTCACAATCAAGGGACATAAGATAACGTGAATAATAAAAGTCTTATAGGTTATAAAATAACATAAGAAATGTTAGTTTTGGCGGCACCCATATGAAAATCAAACCGTGTTCTATGTTTTATTGAGGTAATAGATAATTTGTCCATTTTGTGAAATCATTTCTTGGTAGGCGAAAGGGTAGCTTCAAAAGGTACTACTCCACTATTATATATCAGTAAAGAGCATGAATTTTGGGGAGAATTCAGAGTATATCAATTGTTATTAATCTTTTAGAATTCACTTAATAATAGAAGAAAAGACCAGAAAGTTATACAATGTAATTTGAATGCTAAGAATGTTTGATTTCTTTACTAATCTAATTTATATTTTTTGAAGAAAAAATAGCAAAACATGTGATAATTACTACGGAAATGAGCATTTTGTCATACCTCTATTAAGCAAATATGAAGAGAAGTATTGCCTGCTATAATAAGGTTGCAGAAGTTTTTGAGAACCAACTTATGCTCTTACTCAATGATAGCCCACTTCAGATGGATCCATTGTCTACAAATTTCCAATACAAAAAATTAGACAAAAATGAAAAGCATTCAATAAAATTTGTGAAGTATTGAGTAGTCGCAATGCATGAATAACCCCTTCTGTGGACTTAAACTCCAAATTTACACAAAACGGATTGGCAAAAAGATGCCTTAACATAAACAAAAGCCAACAAGATGGCATCAGTTAATCTTATATGGTACATGTTTATCACCAAAACTTCGAGGCTATATGAGGTGTAATAAATTGATAAAAGCACATTGCATTCCTTGGCACAACTTCATCTGAAAAATATAATAATAGCATTTATAATACAAATTTGGATCTGCAAGCATTAGAAGTCAAAACATTCAAGTTTATTGGATTGAGGAAAAATGTAACTCAAGTCATATAGAAGGGTAAACATCATGTAATAAGTTTATTGAGAATAAGCTTCCAAACTGTAACTGCTTGCGTACCCAAACTAAGGAATCTTTTGAAATTGCTTTTAATGTAATCGTTTTTTTTTATGCTCCGTTATAATAAACCAACACGGGAAAAAAACAACACACACAGAGAAAGACATATAAAGAAAATTATTTCTTTTTTATTTTCTTTTTTACTTTCAAAGTTAATAACAAAAAGTTTCTTCACTTTAATCAAAGAAAAACAAAACGTTCTATTTATGTCTATTTTTTACTAAAGTTTCCTTCACTTCAATAAAAAAGTAAAGCATTTTAACAAGATGTGTAAAAGCAGTATAACTTTTTATGAAAAGAAAGATGGCACTTCAGGCTCAACCAAGGGTAACAATGCAATACATTAAAATGATCAAAGCAATAGAAGAAAGGAAAAAAATTATTCATCTCAAGATAAAATATCATCATTGTTTTATCTGGCTCTCCAAATGGTATTGTTGCTCCACGCAGTTTGGACCAAATTATGTACAAACATTAGGCCATGGATCCTCTGATATAACTATTACCAAATCATCAGTTTAAACAACCATCCATAAGTATATTAATTTAATTTGCAATACCTTGTAACAAGAACAAGAGTGGTTATTTAGAAAGTCATATACAGTGAGCTCAAAAAAATTGTCAATGAATTTTCCTTAACAAGTTAAGGATTTTATAAACTAAGTTAGATCCTCCAATAACTAAGAGAGCAAGACTGCATTACCTTGGGCTACAGAACACCTGGAATGCGCTCTTGCTTCACAAAGCATTGGCTACTGAAGAGAGAACACTTGGATAAGTACTCTGATTTTTTAATAACTGAATCAGGTAGCCCATTTCTTGGCCGAGCAGCTCTTCTAATTCCCAGCCTTAGTTCTCCACCTTCTCCCCTACATCAACCATATTGCCAATTAATAAGTTCTTGTCATTTAACTTAAAGGAAACGTTAGACTTACAGTCCCAGAAGTTTTCCCTTTCTAAATCTAACTTTTCGCAAATAGTTCAGCGAGTGGGATTAGAGAAAAAATTAAGCCTTAACTCATGGACTATAACCTTTAAACATATGGATCTACAATCTTAGAGTTTATATGATGGGTACCTCAGAAAGAGAATTGCATTCCCCAATACAAGATTCTTTTGGCTAACGAAAATACTCCATCCAGTAGTGAGCAAATGTCTCCTTGGCTGGCCTACACATTTAGAATCAAACTATGAGAATTTCCATATTAAGAAACATCGTAGAATTAAATATATAACCTTTGCTCTTTATAATCCTAATAGACAAATTTAGCACAGAATTAGTAAGAAAGTTCACCTCTACACATAAAACATACCTATCGAGTACAATCGATGCTAAAAGGACAGAATAATGTCAAACCAGAGGTGGGAAACAATCTTCAACAGCCCTACGAGGAACTGAAAATCCACCATGGGTATTGGTGTTAGAAGCAGTAAGAGTATTGCAAAACATGTGGGAGGTCGATTTTGCTGACGTAACTCCATCCCCATCTTCATGGACCCCTATCCTTTCAATCTCTTTGTCATCTAATTTTGCTCCAATCAGCTGCATAACATCGGGATGTTACTAATTATCTAAACTTTACCTCTAATAACTATGCTAAATTATTTAATGAAATACTTCTCAAAGACAAATTTTGCCAGTTCGAAATCAAGAAAAAGAAGATGAAGCCCGCTAAGATGACAATTTTTTTTAATAATCAAGAAGGAAATTTTAAACTTCATATATAAATCAAAAAGAAATTCAGTAATTAAGATTCACAAGCATTCAAAATTACAAATCGTACCTCTGGTAGAGGGAGTAGAGTCAGCTGAGTATAAACTCCATCATTTTCCCTATTAGCCCCTTTTCAAGAAATTATACACACTGATCAAGAATAAAATTCAAAAAACGATACCCATAAAAGGAAAATATTTGAAAGCACAAACACATTCAATAAAAAGAATTATTTAGACTCAAGTGCTTACGAGTAGTTGTACATTAAGAACCCTACACCTCCGTGCATGCGGACGGAGGCACGTTGAGCCTCCATCTGCGTGCACGGAGGCACGCTATGCCTCCATGTACGAGAACAAAGGCACGTCGTGTCTCCGTCCGCATGCATGGAGGCACAATGCGCACGGTGTGCCTCCGTGCACGAGAACTGATCAATAATTAGAGAACAATATTTACAAATAATTAAGAACAATAAATAATATTTACCACTAACGATTCTGAACAATAAGAGAAATTCGACAAGGAATTGAGTCGGTGAGTACCCAAGACTAATTTTCTTGGCGACGTTGATCTGGGCGGTTTCAGTGTGAAATGGAGAGTGCATAAATGAATAGTGCCTCNTGAAATTGGATGATCATGGTGAAATAAAATCAAATTGGGTGACTACAGTGACACTAAATATAAAATTAGATGATATTTAACCCCAGGTTCCCCAGCAAAAAGGAAAAGTTGAAAATCATATTAGAATTATGCTGAAGTGCTAGAAAATGAATGACCAAAGGGATGATCGACCCTCACAATGCGCATGGGTCTCGAGGTGTGTGTGTGTTCGGTTATCCCTTATGTTCGTGTAGCAAGATTCATCATTTTAAAGCTCATAAATCAAAGAGAAGCGGAAGAAAAAGAATAGCAGAAATTGACGAAGAATTTTAAATCCAATGCTTAAAAAAGGAAAAAAAAGGGTGGTGGAGAAGAAAAGTAAGAGTGGAGAAGCCAGCAATGGGAATTGTGCACGATTGAGCTTGACTACGATGAAGATGGTAGAGGTAGAAAAGATTAGGGGCTGTTCTCTTTGTGTTTGAGTTTTGTGTTTTGAGTTTTGAATTCATTTTGTGTTTTGTGTTTTGACTGTCCATTTTGAGATTGTTGAAAATGTGTTCTTTTTGTCATTTTGAAAAATTGTTTTGAAAAACTCAAAACTGAAAAATCTGTTCTCTTTTAAATACATTCTCTCTCTCTCTCTCTCTCTCTCTCTCTCTCTCCCCCATCCATCTTGCCTCTCTCCCGTCTCTCTCTCTCCCGTCCGTCTCTCTTCCTCCCGTCTCTCTTCCTCTTCTTGAAAACGAATCATGCTCCCTTACGCTGTGCCCAAATCACACGACCCATTTTCTTGCGTGCTTGCTGTGTGTGGAGGTGAGGGGAAGGGGACAACTAGGAAATGGAGGTGAGGGGAAGGTGGTAGTGGATTCGAAAATTGGAGCTGTTGCTGAATTAATTGTTGCAATTGACATGTAACCCATGGTTCTGTGTACCTGCTGAAGACTCGATTGGGGCCTATTTTATGATTCAACGTTGTGGGGATGAGGAATTGAAGCAGACAGATCCGGAAAAAATGTTGGTTCGTGTGGCGGGGTTGTATTTTTGGGATGCCGATTGTGGTCTTTTTGGTGGCATTTTGGCTGTGGCGGTGGGGGTATTTCTAGGATGCCGATTTTGGCTATGGTGGTGGGAGTTTCTGGTGGTGCTTTTGGTGGTGGAGGTGCAGTGGTGGTTGGAGATTTCTGGTGGAAATTTTGGCTGAAGAATGAACAGTGGCGAAAATTGTTTCCCGTGTTTTGGGTTTTTGGGTGGGTTTAACGATGTTTTTCATCGTTTTGGTGTTTTCTGTACAAATCTTTTTTTCGTTTTCAAAAATGCGTTTTCGAAAACAGGAAAGAGAATACGTTTTCACTGTTTTGAAAAATCGAAAATAGAAAACGATTTGAAAACGCCAAAGAGAACGGCACCTTAGTTTTTTTTGCAGGCAGCTCAAGGTGGAGGAAAAATAGTTCTTAAAGGGCTGTATTTTGGGCTTGCTGGAAATCTTGCTGGAGTGTTACCGTAGTAACATTGTAAACTGGTTTCCTTTGAGTGCTCTCATTTCCACCATATTCAAATGTTTAGATGCCCTTTTTTAAACTTTACAAATTGCTACCAAGAGCCTCTGTACCCATCATATGGCTGTAAGGAAATCCCTTTGCAGCAATTTATGATTTTCAACCTAACAGGGACAGATCTGTGTCCGCAAGGCATGACTGGAGTTCGGTTTCTATTTCTTCTCCTTTTCTTATATAGTTGATGGACTTAGTTTCATCGTATAAAAGAGGGATCGGTGGGCAAGTAAGTAAGGAAATAAGATGACTCTTTCTTGAACTATATCAGAAACTTCATGTCATGATTCTGATTAATCCCTCCTTAAACATGTACTTGAGAATTAAAATCTCAAAATCTTCAAATGCCAGATTCCTTCTTCACATTGCAGACGAATTGTCAAGTCAAAGTTAAGGGTTTGCTCGAGTAAAATGTCTGAGCAACTATTGTAGAATACAAGCATGCTTAATCATAAAGATTTATGAGGTGCTGCAACACAATACATCACATACAGTTTCAGAAATAATAATAATAATAATAATAATAATAATAATAATAATAATAATAATAAAACCTTTAGGGTGAAAGTTGGTAATGTTTAAAAAGGAAAAATTGCAGTCATGGTACCAAATCTTTCATTTAACAGCTGATTTTGCCCAAATCTTTCATTTGTGTCAACCACAATACCAAACATTTCAAAAACTCTCACCTGAAATTCAAATAAATGCTTCTGTTAGTTTGACCGTTAGTTAACCGTAGATTTGACTTTGACCATAATTTTGACTAACCTTAAAAGAATAAAATTGTCACTTTACCTTTTTTAATAAAAAAACACAATTATAATATATTAATAATTAAATAAAAAGAGCCAAAAACAACCCACCATCCTCTCCTTTCCAAACCCATTACCTCCAAATCACCAACAGTAGCAGCAATGGTCG